TATATATATGTATATGTATATATATATATATATTATGTATATATATATATGTGTGTGTGTCTATATATGTATATATATTTATATACATATATTTATATACATATATATATATATATACATATACATACATACATATATATATATACATATACATACATACATATATATATACATATACATACATACATATATATATATATAAGGTGTGGGTGTGTGTGTGTGTGTGTGTGGGTGTGTGTGTGGGTCTCTGTGTGTGTGTTAGTATTATGTAACCATATTTCATACTGTGATTTACCTACATCAGTGATTTTATAATATGCTAATGTTCATTATCCCTTTTTTCATTACTGTCACTGTCTGATGAATGAGAAACACTAGACAACAGCTCAGCAACTACTTCAGGGCCAGCCTGTTTTTCTGACAAGACAGGTCTCAATTTACCATTTTCCATAAACCAGCCCGATTTACATGGATCAGGGATTTCTGGATGAATAACAGAATCCTGGCTCCATATATTGGCATGCAAATGTTCATGCAATATATGCTGATATATGGCTCCTGCAGTTGGTGGCAGCTTATCTACACCTTGATTGTTTGGCAGAGTTTTGAATTTTTTCCATCGTAAAATTGAGGCATTTTAGCAGATACTTTCTTCGTTCAGAAAATACTACACAAATTCCAGTATTCATGCCAAGCACATGTTGCACATACTTTTTGATTTATCAATGTCTACTCTACATCATATCCAATTTTTAAAAAATTACAGTGAGCAGATGTCTCCAAGTTTTCATTATGCGTAAAATGAGAGCTATAAAATGGTAAAAGAATGATTTACATTCGACATTTCGTTATGAAGTTTAAACATACAGCTGTTTAATGAACAATATTTGAGAAATCAGTCTTCAAAGTTTACGATTAAGAAACTTTCTCAGATGAAACCATCACCAAATCGTTAAAATGTGTTGTTTTAACATTTAAAACGTGGAAAATAACAACAGAGCATGATGAATAAATATATAAAGGTTATATAATGCAGAGTCATGATGCATGATTTTATACCCATGGTAGAAAATGCCCATTGCTAAATCATATAGCTAAACACAGCTAAATTTAGGTTATTTTGCAACGTCTGTAGGGTTTATCATCAATAAAATTCGTACTTAAATGATAATAAAAAGCAAACAAATTAACAGTGTTAAAAATACATTTCCATAGAAATACGCATAAAAATATGTTTCCTACATTTAATGCCAGTCATCCAGAACTATCTATACTGCTAAGTTCTGTTTCTGTGTTTTATTCTGATCACAGTGTTTAGTCAATAGCCTTCTTCTTTTAATGTCATAGGGCCCGTTCGAGCGAAAAAATATCCGTGCGATTTTCCAGTTAATTCACCGGTACACACTTTCTAAAACCGCTCGGACACGCGCCTAATTACCTTACCATCTGGATTATCCGCGACAATTTTGACCACCAAATTGCTGGGTAGAATTCCGTGTACGAGATGTCCTTGGAGACGGAGACGATGATAAATCAACCTAAATTGCTTTGCCAAATGGTTCGTCCACAGCCCAGCGCGCGAAAATCCAAGGGTTATGTAATAAATGACCGGTGGTAAACAAACTGATGTCAAGTCAAGCTAAAACTTTAGCCATTGCGCTTTACATTCGGCTTGTGGCAAGATGTCGGTGTGGACCGAGGGGAGAATCGCCTACCTGCTATCTGTTTGGGGCGAAGAGCGTATTCAACGCCAGCTCGATGGTACACGCAGAAACAACTGTGTTTATAAAGATATAGCTGAAAAGATTTCAGCTGAATTCAGCATGGATATAAGTGTATCCCAGATAACAAACAAATTGAAGTACCTTCGCCGAGAATATACAAAAGCAAAGGACAATAACAACAAATCGGGGAGGGCTAAGGTGACATCGCCGTTTTATGACACGCTGGACAGAATACTAGGTACACAGGATATCCACAATCCTGAGATTGTACTCCAAAACGGCGTGAACACGGCAGAGGGCACCGATGAAAGTCAAGCTGATGACGAAGGTAGGTACCGGTCTGTATGCTTCTTAAAATGATACTTAAGTATTAGGCCTAACTGGGCAAGCATTGGTTGTTATTTATGTTATTATTAGTATATTACAGTATACCACTCTGCATGGTGGTGGATATCCATGCGAAGTTTGCGCGAATGTTTTTCCCTTTTATTTGTTGTGCGCTATTTTAAGGCCTAGGTTTGGGCGAAGTCCGTAAGGTGATTCGCAAAGTACAGGCATGGGATTAGCTAGCCTATATATTTAATAATTGTTGAATACTAGTTGCTAATAAATGTTCACTTTCGTTTATAATTAAACTATTTTTCGAATATTCAAGCTGTACATGTTACAGTACTAGAATTGTTATATGCCTAACCTAATATTGATAATAGGCCTGGTTTAGGTAGGCTAGTGAGTGTGCTACTAAACTTGTTTGTATGCATATTTTTTCCAACTGCCAAACTTGTTTAAATTGTTTTCTACTAGTTCCCTCGCTTTCAGAAATCATTGGGGGGGGGGGGGGAATCTGTCCTCTATTTCTTTGATGAGTGATAATTCTTTTTCTATCTGTACACACACATTTTAATTTTAACTTTTTATGTTCACAGCTAATTTGATAGTACCAGAGGCACTGGCTGCAGAAGAAGAAGCCTTGATTGATCTGGGTAAGGTAGAAACTTATTAAATGCCTGTAGTGCAAGCAACAATATAATTTCATTCAATATCACTACAGTAATTAATGTTATTTCGTTTGTTTGCTGTGTAACACATCCCATTTGATATGAAGCTTTTTCTGTAATATACAAAACATATCTTTCCATTTTTTTTATTAATAGCAAGTACTCAACAATAATAATGTTTAAAATAAATATTTTACTGACTAAATTTAAATGCATAATAAAATTAATTTTTATTAAATGAATACTGTACTTTTAAATATTTTCAGATGACACAAATGCCATAGGTGTGATAGACGGCCCACCTGCAATCCAACCAGAAGCAGTAGATGAACCACAACAACGTAAGTTTAAAATATTCAATTCAACTTCAGGCTATATAATTATGAGTTTGTCACTACCAATTTTTTTTAATAGTTTACTGAACAAATTATGCCAAATAAAACAATGAATTATGATGATAAATCAATTTATAATACAGTAGATTAAAAAAAATATAATATAATCACACCAAATCCATAAGTTCCCTAATATTGATGAAATAACAAATATCACATCTGTTATTACACTTCAATTGTTGTGTAACATTGATTAAAATTTCCTTCAACATTTTTCATATCACTTTCTTGATCGTTGGAGATAATGTTTGTACATTTTCTTTAAAAGCCCAGCCACGAAAACCAAAAAAGAAGGCAAAGAAAAAATCGAAATTCGAAATGGCACTGCAAACGTTCAATGCAAACTGTGAGGAACAGGATGTGGCATTCGAACGAAGAATGCTTGAACACCAGAAACAGCTCCAGCAGCAGCATGCTGAATTGCAGGAGCGGTTAATGGAGAAGCAAAATTCAAATATGTTGGAAATGATGCGAATGTATATGCAACCTATGCAACAGCCACAGCATCTTCCTCCGCACCAGTTCCCAACGCCAATATCTCAGACACATCATCTACAGACATTTCCTGCAAACAATACTATGGCAAACAAAACAATGGAAGCAACATCCCTCCGACATCCACGGGAAGACTTCCTCAGAAGACCGTTGTCATTAGCTCGTACATTAGCCGAGGATGCCTCCATTATTCACCACTGCCCTACACCAACAAGTACTCGTGCATCTTCGTTGCTAGCTCGTCCACCTGTCGAGGATGCTCCTATTCAGCATCAATGGCCTACACCAACAAGCACTCGTGCATCTTCGTCGCTAGCTCGACCACCTTTCGAGGATGCTCCTATTCAGCATCAGCGGCCTACACCAACAAGCACTCGTGCATCTTCGTCGCTAGCTCGACCACCTGTCGAGGATGCTCCTATTCAGCATCAGTGGCCTACACCAACAAGCACTCATACATCTTCATCATTAGCTCGTCCATCTGTCGAGGATACTCCTATAGAACAACACTGGCCTACGACAACAAGCACTCGCACTCGCGTATCTGGACTATATAGACCAATAAACACTGTCATATCTCTGGCATCCAACTCGCTGTCCGAACCAGCACCTAAGCGCTCAAAGCCGGATAGACCTCGATATTTTTCATTGTAGGTGTAGATGATATTATTTTACCATGCATTTGCATAATTTTAATATAGTTCCTCCATAACTGTTCATTCAATATAACAATGTACGTAGTGTAGGGTGTGTAGTTCATATATCATTCTCTTTTCAGTGATTTATTTTTTCTTATATCTATGGAATGAATGTGTTTGGTGCATGTTTAAGCAGTTTTAATTTAGTGCCTGCTTAACTGTTTATTCAATGTAACATTATACTGTAGTGTAGTGCTGTTAATATATTTTCTTTTTAATGATTTAATTTTGAAAAGAAATGTGGTTGTTGCATATTTCAGTACTCATCTCAATAAAAAAATCATAACAAGGTTTTAAACAAAATAATCATTTCATTTTAATGTTAACAATACAATTTTATGTACAACAGTTCAAAGGTGTAGAGTGTAACAACATGTAATCAATCTACATGGTTGGAATGGTTTTTATCAATATTTTTCATTGGTACTTTTGATACTTTCCTCTTTGAATAATTTGATGTAAATACCACCAGAACTTTCATAAATAATTTTTTTTAGGTGTAATATTTAATAGTTAAGGAAAAACGTTCAATGGTCAACTTTTGTTTGCTTTTCTCTTAATAGTGCTAGAACTTTAAATAATAAATGTTTGAAATGTATTCTCTGTTATAAAAAAATACACTGTTGTTGTTGTTATTACTAGTTTCGTAGCGGAGTGGATCCAGAAGTGTTTGTCAAAAACATTAATTTTCTACACAGCATTTGCTTTTTTAGCTGAAATATCTAAGTAAGGCATTCCTTATGTCCACCCCAGACCCAACATCCTGATCATTAAGCGGGACGTTAATGGGCTGGTTATTATCGGGGGCATCCCAACGATCGTCATATCCTTCGTTCTGCTCCAGGCAGAAATTGTGAAGAACACAGCATGCCGACACCATCTGAGGAACTTTCAACAAGGCCGAGTCATTTCTCCGCATCAGTATTCGCCACCGTCCCTTTAATTGTCCAAAACCACGTTCCACAACCATCCTGGCTCGGCTAAGCCTGTAGTTGAAGTTTCTTTTCGGATCATCGAAATTTACACCTTCTGAAAAGCCCTTCATTAACCATGGCAGCAATGGATATGCCGGATCCCCCAGTATCACGATAGGCATCAAAACTCCATTTATTTCCCTGTTCCACTGAAAATAAACCAAAAATATAACAATAATTGGAGCAGAGGAAATATTTATTAAGCAAAATTGGGGTGAAATGACTTGCAAGACTTAACCAATATATATATATATATATATATAGGTAATTTGCTATTATTAGAGAGAAAGAGTTCAACAGAATATATTTTATTTCATTTCTAGATTCAAGTTTAAATTATTTAATGCTAAAAAAACATTGTCGAGGGTAATGACATAACATTTTTTACATTTTATTACCTGTGGAAATAAACTTTTATTTTCACCCCTTTCAAATAACCTGGAGTTGCGGAATACCCGGGCATCATGGACTCGTCCAGGCCATCCAACATTAATATCAGTAAATCTGGTAGAAAAAAATAATATTGAAATTACAAAATTTTTGACATCCTAAGCACTTCACAACTTTATACAAAAAAAAAAATATAAAAGGAACATAATATTATTTAACATTCAAAATAGATGAGCCGTACTAGTCTGATATAATAGAAAGTTAAACATATACTTTAAAGACTAGTTTATTTGACAGTAGATACCTGAAGAAGTGGTAAAAAGATAGTCATTTATAAATTGATACTGTACTATAAGAAATAATCATACAATGACGGGCAAAGACAATGGTTAAAAATGCAAATAAAATTATTATTAAACAAATTATGAATGTTAAGCATTAATATATAAATCTTCATTACAAGCACTGCATTAAAAAAATTACCTTAATTTGTCATCGACGACAGCTTGAAGAATGATGGAATGTTGGCCTTTGCGATTATGATAATCCGCTGGGTTATTCTTTGGCGCAATTATTGGTATATGAGTACCATCAACAGCACCAGCACACTGCGGAAAACCATATTTTCCCTCAAAACAGTCAATGGTTTGCCGCAAACGGTCATCAGCAGGCCACACAATGTATTGTTCAAGCATTAATGAAACAACTGCTTTACACACTTCTTGAACAATCTCGCACACAGTTGATCTGCCCACTCCAAACAGGTTGCCTATAGTGCGTAGATCACATGGTGTAGACAGCCTATACAGAGCAATGGCCACCACTTTTTCAACAGCTAGCCCATTTGATGATTCCCGTTGCAGACTGGGGCTAAGGGTATTGCAAAGAAGCTGAAATGATTGCCTTGTCATTCGAAAATTCTCTTTCCAAAACCTTGCATCGGCGTGTAGTGCAGTTTCTTCCCACCACACGAGAGATCGAGGCCGCATTTGCCTAGGGTCGTCAACAGGCTGTCGTCGGAGGCGACGCTCCCCATGCCCAGGCCTGACAGCAGCTAATGCTGCAGCAAGTACCCGCTGTCGTCGCGCTCTTCTTCGCCTCCTCATGTTCACGGCGAAATCAAAGTTGGATTGGACAGTAAATCCATCCACATAACATTGCATCATTGTAGCCATAATGGTGGCTAGTAGCATAGCTACACGTTCAACTTGTAAAATTACCATTACAATACAGTATTCAGAGAATTTAAGATTATGCAAGGGTTACTTACCTGCAGTATAATCTGGATTATACTAGTCCTCTGGAGGTGAGAATCACTAGGCGTTTCCCAGCCGCTTGGCGGTATAACCAGTCTTCAAAGCGTAAATCCATACCCTTCCCATCCTGCACCGTCCTCTTTTCTAAAGTGCAAGTCTGCGGGAGGGGGGAAATCTAATGCAACCTCCGACCCAAAATGATTTCCTGGGCCGGGCAACGTATAAACAACGATTTATTAACTTATAACCCTTGGTAACAATACAAACCAACCAAAAGTCACTCAAACAGCACCCTGAAAACTAGTAACTGCAGGGTGACCTGTAATTCCAAACTACATAAAACAAACTATATGCATAGGCGAAAAAGATGTGACAAAAACCCAACACACCATCCTCCTACATGGTGAAAATCACGGGTTAGGGAGACCAAAAACCAACAAAGCTGATCCACAGGGCGGGAAGTGATTCTCACCTCCAGAGGACTAGTATAATCCAGATTACACTGCAGGTAAGTAACCCTTGCATAATCTTAAATTATACTGCGTCCTCTTTCGGTTTCGAATCACTAGGCGACTTTAAAGCCCACCCTTAAACCGAAGTCAGAAGGCTACGTGAGAACGAAGACGTAGCCGTAGGTCGGTGATAAAACCTACTAAATGT